CTTAGAGAACCTCCTGACCTTACATATATGCCTATAGAAAAAGAACCTGAGTGAATATTCCAGGACTATTCTCGTCTCAGTTTTCCAGCAATCCTACTCTAGAGTCAGAAAACGGATGCGGCTACAGCAGGCGGACTGACCTACAGCGTGTCATTACTTATGGCTTCGAAGATGTGAACTCGTCGTTCTTGAAGATCATGGGAAACTCGTCATTCTGCATCAGGGGTATGTTTTTCCGCTTAAACCCGGCAATATATATATATATATATATATATATATATATATATATATATATATGAGAGAGAGAGAGAGAGAGAGAGAGAGAGAGAGAGAGAGAGAAAGAGAGAAAGGGGGAGATAAACGGCCAAAGACGATACGTTTTTTCAGTTAGATGAGAAGACGATCAAATGCGTGCCTCTTCTTTTATGTTTATGTTTTTCTGGCTACCTAGAAACTGGCAACCTACAAGGGATTTCGTTGTCTGCTCTGTTAACGCGTGAAATACGAATCTTTCAGAGCATTACCTGTTATCAGGTCATCGTGCCATCCGTCAACAATTTGGCATAGACGGTTGGGGTATGTTTAAAAACAGACCAGCTGTCGAAATGCTGCAGGTGTTTATTTTTGTTTGGTCGCTGCACATAAGCACGTGGTAAACGTAGAAATATATACATAACGGAAGCATGGAAACTATGGCTAAGCCCACATTTCGGTCGTGCCATTTGATTCGATCATCTCTTGGGTACTAGTTTGAAAGTCTGTAGTATAGGTTTCTATACGGGCCTCTCTGGTTGATGAAATTAACCAAATGTTTTGTGGTCCGTTTACCCGATTACCAATTATATTGCTCTGAAGCGATATTGATCATTTACAGATTGATGGATAGCTTTAAGAATGCTTGCCGTATCGAGGATTCGTCAACGCTCCCATGCACGTCTGCGACATCGATTAAAATTAATATCGAAGACTCCAACGATATTTAGCGCATCGTACCACCCCACTCTTTGGAGCTATGCAATATTTCAAATGGGTCATAATTTTACTCGCTTGATTGGTCACTTATAATATTATATATGGTCTTTTCTATCTCTGCGCATACGCATGCAGGTACTGTATATAAATGAAAACAGTATATGCAGTTAAAGGCAAATCATGTTCAAAGACATGTTCGTTTGGTTACTACAGAGTAAACAAAAGGCCTCTAGTCCACTCAATCTTATAAATAAACCATGTACTTTGTACCAATATCTCAATTAATAAATCTGTTCAGAGCTAGAAAACGGAAGGTCAAAGGGAAAAGGTCAGATTGTACCTACCAGCATATATAGATCTACCAACATAGCCATACATGTAAAAGTGGTGATTGACGCCGTTTACGGTAACGGGTTCATACCCTTATTTGCGCGAAACAATTGCAATAACTTTATTGAACTTTCGTTGTGCTCAGCTCGCCAGACGATGTAAAGAGTCCACATGAAAATATAGGAAACCACATTATAGTCATAAGGCATAACGATTTTCAATAGTAATTTCACCGAATCGAAAAGAAAACATATTTCATAATGATAGCCAGAGGATGACGTTTGTGAAATTTCACAACAACTGCTTCTAACTGTTCGGAAATCGAAATTATTTGGTGGCATACCCCTTATTTACTCTACAATTCTCTTCCGCGGCTTCTAAAGCACCCGGAAGTGCCCTATCAAATTATAGGTTATGTTTTATATGGCTATAACATTTTTTGATAATTCACCAAGTGCGTCCACTAGACCGTCATGGCTGACCAAAACGGTCAATGAATAATTTTGCCAGCTATGTAAGAGGTCTAGATACCATGTCATCGATTAACTGTCCATGGCGCACACAAAGAAGGTGGTGTTTTTGCAAAACTTTTATAATTAACACGATTACTAATTTCATTTGCAGAATGTTCCAGACTCATGGGGCCATAATTTATACTGTGGGACAAAGCAATGGACACCGTCCATAGATTTGATCGATTCGACCTTTAAGGTAACCAATAGCAAAAACGAGCTTTACAGATAATGCTTAAGTTGCGAAGTTCCATCTTTCATAAAAAATGTCGGCGCAATCTGTCTTCAAAGCTTTGTAAATCGAACAATCACATAACGCTCAACTCATTAAATCAATAACCAACCCTGCGTACACTGAGGTGACATGAAGTACGGCAGATGTTGACGACCTCGCCCTAGCAGTCTATACTAGAAACTATTATAAATTATTATATTTATATGGGGTCTTCTTCTAATAATAGCCCAATGATTGCTGTAAGCACTAATTGCCGTTTATTTAACTAGCTTTGGCGAACATCGCACATTGAGGAAATTTTTTATTATCTGCGTTCGAGGCGAATTTGACTTCCATCCAAATGAATTTCAAGCCAATCTGGCACGTCACCGACGGTGCATGCGGAAGTACGTTTATATGTATCTAAGACGGTCAATAATAATAATCTATATAAATAAACAAGACGGGTGGCCCAAGGGTTTGCTTAACTCCGCTAATGGACCCTCTATCTATGGCCTAAGCGAGAAGGCCCACTTGATGGCTCTTTGGCCCATCTAATGTGCACCGGGTGTTTAGGGTAAATTGTGATAAACTGTAACAGGGGGAAAAGGGTAAGGGTTCATATAGTGTTCTTAATACTCAAAGGGAATATTAGTTTTTCTTCAACGAAACCAAAAACATACTGCTAGAAAAAGGCAGGAGTTTAAATGTGCGCGAAGAGCGGCTATTAATAAATATCTCACCAGCTTCTCAAGATCCCGAAAAAGGTTTCTATAGCAAATATAAAAGACCCACAATAGGTTTTATTGAAAGGGTCAAATATTCGTCGAAAAAAAAAAGCACAAAAATGTGTCTGTGAAGGTCCCTATGACGGACCAGATTATCTGCAGCCTAACGTAAAGCTTTTCGAGTAGGTCATAGCGATTATCATCGGGTGGACGTCTCGCATCCCGCACTTTTTCAACTTTTTACTCTTTCAATAGTTTGAAGTTTGGCTTACTGCTAACCCAAATTTAAGCTCGTCGAATTCTTCCAGCGTGTGACGTACTTAGACGAAATCTCTAGACGAAAACATGTCTAGTCATATTGATTTCGCATAGCGCGCTTTCTTCAAAAAGTTCTTTGCAAACTTCGAAGCTGAGTTTTGAAAAAAAAGTTTGTAACAGGCTTGAGCTCTTAATCGTGGTTGTAATCGAAGATAATAGCAGTGACACGGTATAACGACGTCCGCCAGGAATGTCTTCGTCAAAGCTTGAGAGGAATACCATCCAATTAGTTGTTGTCAGTTAACTGCAACTTGTAAGCCACATCGATCATCTTAACGTATATCGGACACCCTTTACTAGACACGTAGAGCTTCCACAATTACGTACAACGTTTATTGAAACGCACATAAAACTACGAACTAAAACCGTATACCTCGTTCCCGACATTTCCTATTAACTTTTTTGCACGTTAACGTTTTAACTTTCTTTGATCTGAGACTGAGATTTAAGTTGTTAAACGTTTGTCGTATTTTTTATATGACAAAGTATGACCTATGGATTTAATATATACATTAAATCGTATTAAATAGAAAAAAAAAAGCACTTTCGTTCTTAGCGCATTCGACGAACCATTTTGTACTGTGGCCCGATAGATTTACCGACTGGCACAATACGCAACGGGATCGAAAAAAATGAGGTATCATCTCACGGGTGAATCCTTAAAGTTTCTCTGAAACTTTTCCTGAATGTCTTCTAACCGCTTTTCAGAAGATTCTTTAGAAGAAGCTAATCTTTGACTGTTCCTTTTACAAATTAGGTACTACATTAACACATCTCCTCAGGTGGTAAACCGTCAATGAAGTTCTTCGGGAGAAGTCTAAGTGAAGCAGAGACAACACTAATCATATAAAGCGATTCAATAAAGAACGTAATTACTTCCGTTAGGTCGTTTCAAATGTCAGGTGGGGTCGCAGTATCACAAATCCACCACGATCTTGCCTTTGCGCTCAACATAACTTGATACCACTAAATTTCAGTCAGACGTCCCATGAACCTAATACTATTCGTACTACACGAAACGAAGCCTTTGCTTTTTTAAGTTGTTAAACTTAGAAAGCAACTTTTCTCTGTGCACATGTCCATTAGTTGCTATAGAGCGATATGATAAAACGGTGCCTATCAGAATGATATCGATTGGGTGACATACAATGCATCTGGCCTAATAACAATTAGAGCTGTTTGTTAACAACTGCTTAGCTCTGCTATTCTACATTATAGGAAATTCACTACGAAAATGCGCGGTAAACTTATTGAACCGTGTCCATATGACGTAGTACTGCGATCTGTGCAGTTATTAACCCAGTTTGGAGAGCATCAGGAACAGTCATCTAGGTAGACCCCGCTAGGTGGAAGCAAAATACTGGATACTGGCCATATATTTAGAAGCAATCAGAGTTGTCAGATCACAACTGTTGGCAACAAAAATGTTTCTGTACAAATGTAATAGGGTGAGCATTTCGATACTATTTATTGCTTACATTTTTCTTACACGATGAAAACATTAGTCTTCTATAAGCGCCTATCTATAACTTATAGAGAAAGCTGCAAGGTATCAGAACATACCGGATTTTTAATCAACAGAGAGAAAAGCAGAGAAAGGCGTCGTCCATTTCTTCCACCTGCATCTTATCATCACTTAGAGCATCTTGGGATTGACTCAGATTATATAAGCAACAAATGATGTATAAGGAGGGCCTAATTGAAATTCATCCTGAGTTACAAGGATGACGCTGTTGCATTTGAGTCCCAGTTGTTGCACAAATTAAGGCTCCCAAGAAATATTTTTTTCCTACTCAGTATGTTCACATAATCGGTGTATTTATGTTAATCAGTTTTCGATGTGTTTCGTCCGTGCCTGATGCAGCATTTCCTATGGCCAGCACGAAGTCCTAACGTCCCCCACGAAGTAGTCGATAAACTACTTACCTGAAAGTGAGTACGGTGAGTGGTCGGTAGCTTTTGTGCGATTCCGTACTCGACATTGGCGTTCCCCAAAAGTCGTTCGTCCATATCGTCCATGAAAACCATGGGCACGCGGCAGCACTTGTTCCTCCGACATCACCGATAGGAGCAGTCGACGATTCCACTCTTGATGCAATAATCCCGCCACTGATTGTAGCCTCAACTCGATTCTCACCACTGTTTGCAACTACTGATCCCGATCCGCATCCGACGACATCGGGATTTCGCACAATTGCTACGATGTCATCATGCACTAAATCGCCGTCGAGGGCCGCCCCACCCAGCCATGAACGGGGCGAAAAAAAACCGGAGTTAGATCTAGCCGTAATTTCTCTAGAAGATATATAATCTTCACTTTCATCAGCCGCTCCAAAGAAATCAACGCAGAAACAGATAAGGGTGATAGCGGTCGCCGCTACTACGCTCCAGGCCATGGCATTCCAGTCACCTGGGTCTCTTGTCGACCACCGGGGTCGCATTCTGTCCTCTTTTCGCCAACGATTAACAAAGATTATTAGTTCGACGGTCACAAATTCATCTCATAGCTCACTAATCTTTTTCTGCCCAGTCCAAGCCTCGGCGGCCCTTTTTGCTTCACTCGTTGCCTTCTAACCCAATTGCACACAAGAGAAATAACATTAATACAAGCAATGCTCGTGAGAAGCACACATATCCATGTGAAATATTCTCAGTGACAGCAACAGGTAATAGCGAATAAATAGTGTGACGACGAAGAATCGATGATTGCACCACGAACGAATTTTTTTGTCACGAACGGCACACGTGAGTCCTACTTCACAAAACACAGCGACGCGACTCCCACTGCTGCTCAATCCGAACTGAAGCCTGCTCTGTGACCAGGGAACTCACTGCGGACAAGAGGGGAAACTTTGGCGCTGCGGTCGTTCTCTGCTGCGAGCTGCCGCCGCGGCGAAAGACACCCACTACCCATAGTCCAGCGCGCATGCTCCCGTGTTAGTCATCGACAGGGATGTATGGAAGTACTCGTTGACACTTACGTACGTTCCAAATCGTCAATAGGAATAAACAGTGTTTTAGAAGAATACTTAAGCGAATTCGTGTATATGGCGTAGCAGAACCGAACACAATGGAAAAGCATACATTTTTCGAGTAACAAATCAGAATTTAAATTGTATACGCAAAAAATATTTAAGATAGACTAGGAAACAAAAAAAAAAAAAAAAATGTTGCTTTTAAAGCGTTATAGGATGCGTTTATCGACCTATATACAGATTTTACAGTTACACAGCCTGACGGAACGATTGTATTTTGGAAAGCGCAAGGTAACAGTGAGTAAACTGGAAAATGATTCAAGGTTTTTCTTTTTTAATTTTAGATTTTTTTATAGTCTGAATAAGTTTTTAATATCACCCTTTTGGTGGAGAATCAAGGATTTGACCCCAGTAGAAGATTTGGCTGAATTGAGTCTCGTTGAACTTATCTACGACTCGTTCGATAGACTTATAAAGCAACAGTCAGGTAACATTGTAGGCATTTGCCAACGCTGAAATTCGAATCAACGATCAAGAAGTTCGAACAATATTATATCTATATGACGGTCCAGTAAAATCCTTCCTTTGATCAACCTTTGACGAAAAGGGCGCTACAGCTTCCGGCTATTCAGACTCAGGGCGAACATTTCTGCCAATGTGCTTAGTCACTGAGCAGTTTAACACACCAAAACAACGGAAATATGTTGACCTAAATTGTTAGATACGTTCGCCCTACACTCAGGTATACAAGATGGCTACCCGCACTACTCCTCTCGTTGTAAAGCGTAAATGTCATCCCAACAAAGCAATATGGGCTTTGAGGGAAACGCACTGTAGAAAGGACGTGCAAATCCTGATAGTGACATCAAGGGAGCACGTAATTTGCCGTGCGGGGTGTTTGTCACTTTCGGTCGCTGTCCAGCGAAAAGGCTACGTTCGTGCTGGCCCAAATGTGTGACCCTGTAGGAGTACTCAACCTCCATGTAGCAGCGTTACTAAAAATAGGTTGACGCACAATTTTAGCAGCTTTTGCTGTTGATTTTGCTGGCTAATATTTTCGATTAAATAGAAAACGAAGTCAGTCGAAGTCATTCTGCAATCGATTTAGTGTTATATGACTTGAGCTTGTAAAGCGACATCACAGGGCTGGAGTAGGCCGTAAACCTGGCCAAGATGGAGGCAATGAGGTCGAAAAGGGAGTTCGAGACAGTGACCGCCTTGTATCTCGTCAGCTCATCTTTCGCTTACGGTAGCCAGATCGATTGCAGCTGCTGGTCATCAACGCCAAAGGTTTTACCGTGCACGTCTTTGAGGGATGTAAGCAGACGATTGCAGTCAAGTAATCGCCCATAAAATCAGTTTCTTCGAGATCCGATTGTAACGTGTAGAATATGCTTCATGTGAAAGGACCAGGCTGGTGACAACTACTACACCGCGTCAAGCCTGCTTCCTCAACGAAATACTCAAATAATGACTCCCAATCGCTTCGAATGTTTTCTGGCCAAGTCGCCAGTGCTCACCGAAGATTCTCACTGCCGCTTCAAGTACCACTACATTAGGAACCGGACGCAAAGATTAGCAAGATTCTATGGGGAATTTTTAGGCTAGGCCGAAATAAGGAAGAGTGAGTGGAAATACTTGAACTAGTTCGACCAACACATCGTAACTCACTTCGCTGCGCATCTTGCAAACTTGCGGGGTACAGCCCTTACATTAATTTGATAGATGAGGTGTAGAAGCTTTAGAAATGGCGAAAGCTTCGTTATAGATTATAGTAAGCCGCGAGCTGTTCTGTTACGTATCTCTTTGGACGCCGGAAAAATTGCTTAGATTGGAATGTATGTCTTCTGTTCGGCTGGATTGGATTCCAAATTTCTTTTGTTTATTCTAATCTGAAGATGCTCTGTTGTTAATCTGTGAGTATGAAATGCTTGACTGCTACCAGAAAAGACAAACAAAGAACTCTTTATTGCTGTTCCTACCATCTGATTAAAACCCTCCAAGTCTAAAATAATGCTTCCCTCGTAGTATACTCCTTATCAGCTCCAAACAACTGGGTACTTTGGCTAATTTAACGAGGATGGTTTTCTTGGCGCCAGGTCAGATGCGACTAAGAAATTAACGACCACTGCATGGAGGAATTGCCTTAGTACGCTACGAGCGTAGTATGAGTACGTAATGCGGAAGTCGTGGCCTTACTGACAAGTATTATTCCCGAGCCTTTTAAATACAGAGGCGGCAATAAAAAAAAACATGCTGAAAACTCGTAGCAGTAGTTCTTTTTAACAAAATTAAGTCGACTCTATGCAGTAAAAGTGCGACTTTTTACACAGTACTTATCGGCAGGGTTTTTGACAAGTCTCGAAAAGCATTCGTCCTGTCCTGCCCTTGATATATTTGTTCGGCCCTGCCACCAGGCTACGTGGGAGTACACTCTTCATAAATATTTGAAGCGGGTAGAAGGCGGGCGGGCTAGGTATTGACAGATACCCTAGAGGCTCAATACTCCCACCTTATAACCTTACGTACGCTGGAAAGCCACGTCTTGCCACCGTGCGTCAACGTCATCGCTTTTATAAGCGTTAAAACATAGTCGTCGATGCTAGGGGTAAATAGGAATGAAATGCGAAGATCATTTGATAAAGCAAATACCGCCCATCATTTGTCGGTTGGTCGATATCTCGGAATTTGCCTGAAATCTCGCTGTAACTAGAAGTTTTTTGTTCAGCAAGATCCTAATGCCGCTAAGTTCAACCTATTGTTCTAGTAAATCAAAGGCGAAAATGTCGATAGTTGACTTGCCCTAATGACTTAATGAACCGGGAAGTTAGTCAAAAAGGTATATGAAATTGTCGCAGGTTTTGAATCGACATCCGTGTTCATGCCGCTTGTCAATAGCCTTAGCGTGTTTTGTTGGTTCACAAACGATAGAGTGTTCCTTCGATCAGTTTTGCTATCCTTTCCACTGAACTAAAGCCTATGCATCCAGCAGTGATGTTCACACAAAAAGGAAAATCTCTCACATTAAATTGAACAGTACGCAACTAAGTGCACGGTGACCAGTCTGACTATTGCCGCCACAATTTATCAAACGGTACTTTCAGCTACCACATTCTCCAGAATCAAATTTATGTTGCTTTTGTTGATCTCAAGCGTTTAAGGTGGCGGCAGGTGGCACAGCGCAACTTACCGTCAATTTTTTAAAACCCGCTGCCAACAAAAATTAGGTAGAGTGATACAAATCACGGCTGATGCTGCGCTGTATAGTCTCCCAGTGTAATATGGGGCTCATTTCAGTGCATCAAGGTTCATGATATTGCAATCTTTCGACCCGCGGAGTAGCTCCAGATAGTGTGCAATTTGGGTAAATGTGTCCTATTTATGCAATTTTTTATTTCTGTGACGACTTGAAAAGCCAGTCAACAGTCCTACAGAACTGGCGGGCTCATATTCAGTTAATGAAGGGATCTTTAATGGACAAAACGAGGCTGAACCATTTCTTCGGCTAGACTTATACTACCGAAGTAAGAGAAGTCTAGCCAGATACACAGCTGATTTTAGGAAGCTGGCCATGTCTATAGATATACGCCGTGAACAGATGACTCAATTGACATTCTGTAATCTTGTTTTTGTATCATTTATCAGTGCCCTTGCACGTGCGATGGATGCAAAAAAACGGATTTAATGCGAATACGCTCATGGTAATGAATCGAACGCCGCCTTAATCCTTTTTCTGATCAGTGTCCGTACTGTTTTACGCGTTACTCGTTTGCCCACGTTTTATATGTGCTTATAAATTGTCGTTCAAGAGAAGCTTTTGTTGTTGTTGGGCTTGGCAAAGCGTTGTTATCGTCGTCCCCATTGCCGGCTTTTCCCTGTGCAAAGGTTTCCAGTCTACAAGACTATACATATACACACTTTTTCTAAATATTTAATCATACATAGATTTGACGTGGGTCTTCTTTTCAAACCCTATAAAATAGTTCTTCTTTACGTATTGTACGTCAACAAACTCATGTTCATAGAAGATTAAAGTAGACATATTTATGCCTATGAGTATCCTGTATCAGTATCCTGTATAGTGCTGTTGCACTATCCTTGCAACAGGAGTATTTAGTAGTTCTTATATCCTTTCGAGCAATTGAAGGGCTGTTCTGGGACTTCACTTGGTTGCTTGTTGTCCTGTTGAAGAAAAGCGTATTCCGATATCTTTAACCCTCCGCATTCGCTACGATAGTATGACAACGAATGTGCGGCGTAGCTCTGACTTATAGCAAACACTTTCGTCGCACAACTGTCTTCATTGGGTCTCGTCTATTTAACGTTTTACATTTTCGTCTTTTACCCCCCCGCCCCCCGCCTTAATCAATTAGGATTTGCAAAAAGAGTTGTTGTGGCAAAAAATATTTGGTTACATTGCTTGTAAGCCGAATTCGCCTTCTCCGTTGGCAAATACCTACTTACATGTCTCGGTATATCTTCTGATCTCTCCATAGCTACATTACTTACAGGCCCGCCGCAACAATAGCAATAACGCATGTAGACTTTCCATCGAATATCAAGCCGCATGAAGACCAAGCGAAGATATGAACCAGCCAAGTGAAACATCGTGAAGGCACTCCCTCGCTCCAGCTCGAAGCCGGCGAACACCACAGCAGCGATGTCCAGTTAACGCAACTGGCTAGCCATCGCATGTGAATCCGCGCTTCTATACACATTCGAATCACACATTTGAATTGCTGACCACCCCCATATCTCCTCATGGAACGCTCAACTCCACGCAACGTCGGTGGC